AAAAAGCCTAATATAAATAGGTTATTTATTATAACTTTTAAGGGTTAAAGTTAATAAGGCCTAGTAAGTAATATAATTATTAATAAATTAAAAGCTTTTTATAATAAAAAGAATACTTATTTTAAGGCTAAAAATCCTAATTTTATAAAAATTAAAAAGGTTATAAAAATAATTAGAAATTTAAAAAAAAAAGCCGCCTCTAAAAACACTAAACTAAAGCGTAGCACTAAAAAAGCTATAAGACTGGCCATAAAAGGGGCCAACAAGGCTAGCAAAGCCAAGGCTAAAAAGGCCAAAAAGGCCAAAAAGGCCTACAAGACCAAAGCTGCCAAATAAATCTGTATTGGCGGTTTTACCTCTTCCGGAGGGGATATAATATTTATATAATAATATACCTTTTAAGCTGGGCACGCCGGCGTAAACAGTTATTATAGAACCAGACACGGGCTCCGACCTGTTCTGGGTGCCGCAGGTGCGCGCCGGCAAGGCAAGAGACGAGCCGGCATCCGTCTACTTCGACAAGGACCGCAGCACCAGCCGGCGCGAGCTCAATAAGGAATACGGCTCGCAATACGGCCAGAACGAATTCGTTCTCTGGAACGTGAGTGCCGACGTGGTATCCATAAAAGGTACGTTATTATATGTCCAATACCCAAAGGAAAGAAAATCAGAGCCCAACACATCAGTGTGTACTAGGCCGTTCGCTGGGCGAGCTGCAGTTTGGCGTTGCCAACCTCGAGAAATGGCCTACCCGCGTAGGGCGCAACGTCGGCATCCTCGGCCTGCGGGCGCCCGGGCCCAAGAACCCGTACGCCAACGAGTTCATTATCAAGAAGATGCTGGATAACAAGGTGATTCCCGACGCGGCCTTTAGCATGAGTGTGGATGGGAACGGCAAGGGCGCCATCACCTTTGGCGGCTACGATACCAAAAGGTTTGCCGGCCCGCTTGAAACGTTCCCATTTGCGTCCCAGACATCAAACCAGTAAGTGACGAGGGAAAACTCGTATAAATCTCTCACGGCTGTGCCTCGGGGAGACTAACCATCCGTACGTACGTGGGCAGCTACGTCGTCAACATGAAGTCCATCTCGGTGTCTGGCGGCACCAACGCCGACCAAGTCATCCAGGGCCAAGGCCTGACCATCGGACTCGACTCGGGGTCTCCGGCGGTGGCGTTGAAAAAGGCCCTCTACGACCGGGTCGTGGCGGCGCTGGGAGCCACGGTTCCCCAGGGCAGCAGCGTCCCCGTCGTCAACTGCACCTTGATGCGGGATGCCCGCCTCACGCTGGCCATGAGCGACACGTTGTCCATCACGATTCCCGTCAAGGACTTTGAGATGAATATTCCGCAGCTCAAGACGGGAGGTAACTGCCCGGTGGCCATTATTTCGGGAAATTACCCTGCTGGTAAGGAGAGCCGTTGGTGAACCCCCCTGTTGAACCTTGTACGTGGACTAATTTGGGCGATTTGGGCAAGATGTTTGGATCGGCGGTCATTTCCTGCGCAGGGCCTATGTCGTGTACGACTCGGCACGCAGGAGCATCCACGTGGCGCGGGTTGGCAACTGCGGCTCCAACGTGGTGGCTATCAGCGGCGGCCTTCCGACCGGGCTTGTTGGCGAGTGCTCCGAACAGCCGCTCGGCCCGATCCCCGCTCCGGATGCGCCCGGCGACCATTAAGTCGCCTCCGTACGGGGCACTCCGTACTTGGTCTACAGGTGTACTTGTTAAAGAAAAAGAAGAAAATGCGGCAAGGGCGGAATTGCGCGCGAGACATGGCAATGGCACCAAGAATCCAGCAGCTAGGTAGCTTCGCATGGAAATAGATCAAGTCAGTGGTGACGGGTATCATATCCAGACTGTGTTTATTGTTGCATGTGTCGACGGTTGATGAATAGGGTGTGGATGCTGTTGCTACATGCCAACTAGTGCGCCGTATGTGCAGCCAATGCCAGTTGCGCGGGTCCACCAAAAAATGCTGCGTCCTTGATTTTGATGAAATTATGTCGATGCATAACTACTATATCGTCGTTATGCGGGTAAATCTGGTGCACAATACAGACATTAGCGCCCTACGGAATACTGTTTGCTGATTGGCCTGCACCTTGGCCCGTCACTTGACAATTCAATGGCAGCCTCCAATTGGCAGTGTCAAGCCAGACAAGCTCATTGATGTCACTTTATTAGTAAGAATCGATGAGGCGTCGGCAGGACCCTGCGATCGACACTGCAAGAAAGCCGGCCCGCCATCTGCGCAAGCTCGTGGCCGGACCCCACCATGTCGCCATTTCCTTTTTTTTTCCCAACCAAACGTTTTGAAATGAGTCGATGTCGGCTCGGAGCCTCAATTGCACCGCCACCAAAATAAAGGGCCAACTTGTCCGCCGCCGTCCGTCATGACGCGCTTGATTTCCATGACAAATCCAGACCAACTGCCTGCCCTTGCGCAAACTTGTCCTCATGGCTCTTTCCTTGTCATGATGAGGCGTGAGCGCCTTGTCTAAAGACCGACGTCTGGCATCTGCAACATTGAAGGGTTCTGGTCCCACTTCGGCCTCGACCCGCCGCATCTGATAAACTCTGAGCAGATTTCTCTCTAAACATTTCAACTTTTTGCCGTGCGCCGGAACGCACCCTGCCCCTCCACCACCGCGGCGAGCAGTCAGCTTGCTGGCATTTTTATTTCGTTCTTGTGCGATACCCCACGGTTACTGCTTGCCTTCTCGTTCCCAGAGCCCGCGTCATGCATCCCGCGGCGGAATCCGAGCTGCGAGGCCAAAACGCCGACGGCGTTGCGTTCCGCGCGAAACCGCACCACGTCCATCGAACCTGGGCGAGGACCTTCTCCTCGATCCCCGAGCTCTACATCCAGCCAGAGACCCTCGCCGAGGTGGAAAAGGTTGTTTCTCTCGCCCAGACATGTCGCCGGCGCATCGTCACCACCGGCTGCGGCCACTCGCCCTCCGACATCACCTGCACCTCCAGCTGGATGGTCAACCTCGACCGCTTCAACAAGATCCTTGCCGTCAGCACGGACACGGGCCTGGTGACCATGGAGAGCGGCATACGGCTGTACGCCCTGTGCGAGGAGCTGGAGCGACACGGTCTTGCCATGCCCAACTTGGGGAGCATCAACCAGCAGTCCATTGCCGGCGCCATTTCGACGGGAACCCACGGGAGCAGTGTGCGCCATGGCCTCATGTCTGAAGATGTGCAGTCTCTCCGAATCACACTGGCCAATGGGACAACGAAACTTTGCTCTGCCGAGTCGAACCCGGAGCTGTTTCGAGCCGCGCTCCTATCTCTCGGCGCATTGGGCATCATCACCGAGGTCACGCTTCGCGCGGTCCCCGCCTTCAAGCTCAAGTGGACGCAGACCATCGACACCGACTACAAGCTGTTCAAGAGATGGCCGCTCGACCTGTGGACGCAGAGCGAGTTTGTCAGGGTGTGGTGGTTCCCCTACACGAGACGCGCCGTCGTGTGGCAGGCAGACAAAACTGCGGAACCCGAGCAGGACCCCCCGGCGAGCTACTACGACGGATCCCTGGGGTACTACGTCTACCACAACCTGCTCTACCTGGCGCAGTTTGCCCCCCGGATCCTCCCCTGGGTCGAGTGGTTCGTCTTCGGCATGCAGTACGGCTTCGCCAACGGGTCGGCCACGACGGCCGTCCAGCCGAGCCGAAGGGCGCTGCTGATGAACTGCCTCTACTCGCAGTTTGTGAACGAGTGGGCGATCCCCCTGCACAGGGGGCCCGAGGCGCTGCGGCGACTCGGCGCCTGGCTGAACCGCCTCACGCCCGACGACCCGGACTACGTGGCGCACGGCATCCCCTTCTCGGCCGACGGGCTGTACGTGCACGCCCCGGTCGAGGTGCGGGTGAGCGACACGAGCCTCACGTCCAGCCTCCGTCCGTACCTGGACCCGACTGTCCCCGACGGCCCGACGCTGTACCTCAACGCAACCTTGTATCGGCCGTACTGGCGGGACCCGCCGTGCCGCGACCGCTACTACCAGGCGTTTGAGTGGTTGATGAGGGACATGGGCGGCCGGCCGCACTGGGCCAAGAACTTTGAGACGTGTCGGCCCGATATCGAGGCCATGTATGGCGAGAGCTTGGCGGCGTTTCGGGGGATACGCGACGGCGTGGACCCGGAGGGCATGTTTGTCGGGCCGTGGCACAGAGAACGCATCATGGCACCTCTCCCAGGGCCCAAGCTTCCGCTGGAAGAGGTGGAGGTTTCAAGGAGGAAGGCTGCTGGCGGCGGTCTCGTGATGGAGGGGCTTGTTGGAGGGGGTTGATACTATGGCCTTGGGTGCTCGGCTGGAGCTCTTTTTTTTTTGTTTCCATTTTTGCATGCGCAATTTTCATTGTAGCAGCGGGCGGGATGGATCTTGCGACGAGGCGGACTGTACATATGCTGGGCATGAATGCAAACAACGCGGGACACGCATGCTTCAGGACACGGGAAGCTGTGGTTTGGTTATTTACAGTGCAGGCCTTTGGCCGGGCACAAGGGAACTGAGAAATCCATGTACCCGTTCATCCATCGCCCGGTCATGTCTGAAACCGAGCCTCAACGATGGGCGGGAGACGATGCCGACCTTCCGCCCGGCTACCATCCACGCTCAAAGTCGAGATCCATGACCCTCACCTCCTTCTCCCCCACGACGATCCATCCATCGCCGTCCCTCATCTCCTGGCCCCTCCCCATGGCATACCGCTTGTAGTACTCCTTGTGGCTGCAGTCGCGCAGCGCGCACACGCCGTTCGCCCAATCCGCCGGCGGCAGTTGTTCATCGTACATGTACACAACCATCTGCACCAGCTCGGGAAACATGTTCCGCACCAGGGCGCGGATGGACGTCCCCGCGCCCTGGTGACAGGTCCACCGCGCGCTGATGGCCAGCCGCCTCAGCCCGTGGCCGGCCGGGTCGCGGCGCCGAATGTCCAGCAGGAGCAGCGACAGGCGGTAGTAGTCCAGGTCGCCGAGGACGACGAGGGTGTCGGCGGCCGGGTCGACGTACAGCACGCGGTGGGGGTGGGCGACGCTATCGCCGGCGCGGTCGCACGACGCCGCCGTCGCGAGGGGCAGCTTGATGCGGTAGTGCTTCAGGGCGGCGGCCCGCGACTCCGAGGTGGCGGACAGGGCGGCCGGGTTGTTGCAGCCGCTTTGCCATTTCGGCGCGCTGCCGTGGTGTTTGAAGGCGTCGGCGTAGTGCGCTCGGCGGCCGTGCAGCTCGACGACGCGGGGGGTGAAGGACGAGTGCCAGATCTTGGACCGGAGCTCGCTGGGGAGCCGGGGGAACGGGTGGAAGTGGCCTGGCGTCGGTGGCCGCGGGCTGTCTGTGGCCATTGATGGATGGCCTCTGGGTTGGGGTCGAGGGGTGGCCGGGAGGCAGGATGGTGGGCGGTTGAAGAAACGGGCATTTATGACTTTGTGTTGGTGCGGCGGATATTGCGTGAATGATGGCATTGACTGGAGAGGAGGCAGGGCAGGCCTTTGTCCTCCCAGTTATGGATAGCCGCATACTCGACGCTTTGCGGTCTGGTCCCGGCTACGATTGGTTCAATGGCATTCGCACAAATACGAGCATGCATCTCCACCTGAAGATGGTTGCAGGCTTGACAGTGCTCTTGACAGTGCATGTATCACGATTTGGGACAGTTAGTCTCCTTTAGGTCAAGGAAAAAATAGCAACTACGTCATTTCATAATGCTCGGTCTAGCTCAGCTTAGCTGCTCCAACTGCTAGGCTTGCCAAGCTTACATAACCAATTTATACAGAGAAGTCTGGTCCACGTGAGTGCATAGTGGCTGGCCACCCTACAACACTTTCAATGTTGTCGCAGATGTTTACAAAAAACAGCCACAACAGGAGGAATTAATTTCATCTTTACTATTCTACTCTTTATTATCTTTTTCCACATCAATTTGAACATTCCGCCTATATGACCGGACTTGGCGCACAAGCCTATTTATAACCGTGTGGACGGTCTTCGGGGCGGATGAAAGGCATCCTTTTGGTGTTCTGTTATAAAAAGGCCTTAATCCTGGATACATGGGTCCAGTCAAGGGGTAGTTTCGCATCAATTCAATCCGTAGCTGCTAGTCGTATATTGCCATGATTTTTGCACAAATAAATTCATTCCTTCCAGGGCTAGCTGTTTCGTCTCGACTTTGTAACTGCTCAACTCGTCCGTATATACACGTTAAGCTAGATACCTATGCGGGTACTATATAAAAAACATTTTTTCCACCACAATATACAGTAGTTGCAGAAGCGGCCCCCTGCTTCGTTTACAATTTAGCTCCTCCTCTCTCAATATATTACTTCTGCTTTGTATGCCAAACGTACAAAGTCTGATTGAATTGAAGACCTCCCAAGCCCCTCCTATGCCTTACTACCTGTTAACCAGTGAACATCTCATGAAGCCGGGACGGTTTGTCACTCGGGGACATATCCTGCGTTCCCTGGTATTGCGGCTGCATCCCAGTGACATCAGAGGGGTAAAACGCTACTGGTGGCGTTGACATGCTGCTCCCACCAAGACCCTGTTGGCGTTCGAATGCCGAGCTTGCCCCAGTGGTTGTGGCAGCTACGCTGGAACGCTGATCGAACGCTGCGCTGCTACTGCACTGCGAGGCCCGGTTATAGTCGGGCGAATACTCTGACATGAATGGCTGCTGAGGAGTCGAAATCTTCTTCTTCCGTCGACGGAGGAGGAAGAAGACCAGGAGGCTAATGATGGCCAAGCCGTCTGAAGACAACACAGTCAGATCCAGTTACTAATAGACAAAGAGGCGGCTCTCCGTCTTACCTATTCCTCCCACCACTCCTCCTACAATGGCGCCTACTGGTGTTGAGCTTGGCGGCTCGGGCGTGGTGGTCGATGTAGGACTAGGCGCCTCGGACGTGGTAGTCGATGTAGTACTACTAGTATCGGTGGTGAGGTAGATGTAGTAGATGGGCGTTGTTATTGCATCAGCTTCGCACTACAGAAAACTATACCCGGAATAATAATCGTCGGAATATTGATAGACTGCACAGGAAGGGCTTGCCTTGTCCGAACTATCGTCCCCGCAGATTAGCACTTCACCACGTAGAATATACAAGGCCGATTCAGTTTTCTCCTGTATCATCATACCAATAGAGTGTATTGCTCTTGTCCACGGAGGAAGTTCCCAAGGAGGAATTGAATGGAAGACATGTCGTAGGTACTAGGCAGTCGGTTAATAGTCCACAGCAGGTCATGAGACTTCTTTTGTCATTGTGGACGCAGACAGATGTTCCGCCGCACGCGAACGGTGAGTCTAAGGCAGATGAGTTCAGTGGAATCGGATATGGGAGCCACACGATTACGCACCAGTGTCGGAGGCAAAATACCCGCAGGTTTGTGTTGTTGTTAGCACTTTTTCGAGTCTGCTATAAGACACAGGGCTTGTTGTAATAGCAGGGCCTATTTTAGATGTTTGTTGGGGCTGCGGCTTTGTAGTACTTGGGGGCATGGTGTTGGTGCTCGCATATGTGCCGGCTACCAGCAGTGCTGCCATGAAATAATGTTGGAACCCAAGCATTTTGACGCGTCCGTTGTATTGATTTTGAAAGTAGAGTGTGGGTGATGTCCTGGACCTACTTCTTAGCAACTATCCATGGCTTGTTCCCTAGACATTGGACTTGAGAGACTTGATGTTGGCTATATGCTTTGCACTACCAAGGAGATACTGATGACTTTATAATCACAGGCCATTAGCGGAAGGTACCAAGTAGCGAGATGAAAAGTTGGCTTTCTTGGCGTCTAGATGTCGCAAACCGCTTAAGTGGCACAGAACTTTGAATCTAGGTTTGCCCTGGCTTGCCTACCAAGACCGCTTTCACGGGGGGTCCCTACATTGACGATCATGTTATGCTAGGCAACTTTTCACGAAGCCCTGCCGTCAGACTTCAAACTATTAGCTGCTTGCTCAGGATGAGAGAATCTTTGGCGCCACATGGCCCGTCAGATGGTAGGATTATTCCAGCTGTGGAAGCGTCTGCGGCATAACGGGAGTTGGAAGAGCGTTTGTCATGATTCAGGAATTTAGTCCGAATTCTTTTGCCCTAGTTATGGCATATGGCGCCATGTAGCATGTTTTATACTTCTAGGCAGCCTCCCTTCCTGTATAAATTGAAAATTCCAGGCGGCCTATCGATGAACTCCTTGGTACCTTACGCTATCTGACAAGTACAGGCCTCTATTAGTCCTATTTTGCAAAAAGAAAAGCCATGCAGAGTTGTGACCACGTTGATGGCAGCTGCTATAGTTACTCTTTGCATCTTGCGGTGGAATGGATTCGAAAGGACAAGGGAACACGGATTCGTGACAGTAGGTTACCAATGCCTACATTCGTACCTAAAGCTACGCTAGAAGCCAAATTTAGGAGGAAAAGCCCATGGAGGAAAGAGGTTGTATCCTAGCGCCTCGATATTTCCATGATGAATTACCCGGCTGTGAACGTGGCCAATGCAGTGCCGGACAACGACATTATCGCGCGATTGGCGATATTGGACAACCATTGAGACACGACAAATAAATGGAGCGCCGCAAACGGCTCCCCTACCTCTTCAAACTTAAAGAAATACAGTGTGCAGCTCAATATCATCGGAAAGTGCTCTGAACTTTGCTCCGAATTTAGAAACTATGTTTCAAAATTGCCAGCACCCACGTAGCTACTACTCATGTACCCCAGGAAAAGTTTAGCGCCCATTTAGACACGATGGAACCTTTTCGGTAACTATTCGAAAATGGTAGTATGGTTGCTATTATGCACACGTGGCTCTGTGTTGTTTGGTGCCGTGCATTTGATCCCAGGTAAACTCCAAGATGCCTCGCCTTGCGCCATGCCATGCAATGCAGTGGAGACAACATACCCCCCAGAAAAGGCATCATCTCCAACAGGATGGCAGGATTAACTCGCGACGACACGCATGCATAGGGGACCTGGTGGTCCAGGCAATCCCGCCACATTGTTCAGCTGCGATACGGTCACACGGTTGCTGGCCAATTGCCGAAGCCCAGGCGCCGGTCTACCTTCGGCAGTCGGGCATTTGACCCAGCCTGTACTCGCACCAAGGTGTTGGTAGGACTGTTATGATTTCTTGTCGCTATCTAGTTGCAACCAAGTACCAGGGCTGACCAACCGATTCTGTCGAGACTCGAGACACTGCCTCTCCACTCCGGCGCGGACTTGGCCACGGCCCCGGAGGCTGGAGCCAAGACGGGCCGGGTCCATGTCGACCGTTGGAACGGGGAAACGGCTTGGCGGCGGCGGCAACCCCAAAACGGAAGCCAAAGCGCCGAGATGCTCAATACCCATCTTGACATGGAAATTTTTTTTTTTTAAAAAATTCACATGTGCATCAACGGCAGCGTCCGTCCCCACTGCATGGCCGCCCCAGTCCGACGCCGCGCAAGTGGACCGCGCAAACTTGACATTTCCACCCGACGCTTCCCCTTTGGCTCACAAGCATGAGCCGGCAAGAGTCGGGCTCGACGCGGCCATGGAAACGAAACACCTGGCGCCGAGCAAAGAAAAAGGTCATCTGCCCCGTAACGCACAGCCTCACAAGACTCACAAACTCGATGCTGTTAGTCTCGGAATCAACTTGCGGCGGCCACGTGAACGACCACCCTGAACGCCCGAGAGCCGCCGTCACGATGCTGGGTGAAGCCGGGGTTTCCATCCGTGTATTGACGCGGGCTTGCGGAGAAGGCTCCCGTTTGCCCCGTCTGACGGCGGCTGAGATCCCTGGGCCTGTCGTTATTGCCCCAAATATACGTGCTTGTCTGCGCTTTGGAAAATAAGGTATCATGACACCCTGTCTATTAGCCGCATTCAACCATGTATGTTTTCTAACCCCGGACGAGCTTTTTTCTTCTCTCTCTTTATTGTCGCTCTGAGACCTATTGGTTTTCTTTCTCTTTCTCGTTTTACAAACTTTGCCAGTATACAGGGCTGGTAGTAGAAGGGGCGAAACAAACAATTTGTTGGGTGTCAACCCGTTGGTATTCGGATCATGGCACGTACCGACAACGACTTTGGCCCGAGTCTACCGGGCGTCTTTGACTTCACCATTCTCTTCGAGCAGAGCATTCTCTCCCTGCTGCCCGCGTCCATCTTCATCCTTGTCGCGCCGCTGCGCACTTGGACCCTCGTACGCCGTGATACAATTGTGCGCTCGCGCAAATTATTCCTAGCAAAACAGGTGCGCACTGTTGAATCCCGCCGAGTCATTACTCACGTGAAGAGATGGTTTCCTACTAAACACGCTTTAGGCCACCATCGCCGTCTACCTTTGTCTTCAACTTGCCCTCGTCGCGCTGTGGTCGTCGCCATCCACACCCAGGACAAAGACGTCCATCGCAGAAGCAGTCATCGGCGTCGTGGAAGCCGGCGCCATTTGCGCGCTGTCATGGGCAGAGCACTACAAGTCGGTCAGGCCGTCTGTCCTGCTGAACCTGTACCTCCTCCTCTCGACGCTCCTCGACACCGCCGCCGCAAGGACCTACCTCACGCGGCCGGGCCTTGCTGCCATTGGCGGCGTGTCTCTGGCCTCCCTCGCCGTCAAGGCCGCCCTGCTGGCCCTCGAAGAATCGCCCAAGGACCCGGCGCGCAGGGGCAAGACGACCGCCGACGAAGCGGCCGCGGGCGTCGTGAGCCGAGGCGTCTTTTGGTGGCTCAACCCTCTGCTCCTCGTCGGAGCAAAGACGCTGCTTGCCGCCGACCATGTCGGGCCCATCGAGGACAAGTTCGACTCGGCCAGGCTCCTGCGTCGGCTGGAGAGCGTCTGGGACAATGGTGTGTACTCCGGACCCCCCCTTGCCAGTCTCTTCATCTCCCTGGGACGACTCACCCTGACTTAGATGGAACCAAAAGACGGTAGAACCGGCAGCTGGGCCCTCATGAAGTGCACGTTCCTGGCGTACAAGTGGCAGTTCCTGGCCGGCGTCCTCCCGCGGCTCCTCTTTACCGGCTTCACCTTCGCCCAGCCCTTTCTCATCAACGCCGTCGTCGACTTTGTCGGCGCTCCCGCGGAGCAGCAGACGGCCCAGGTAGCTGCGAGCCTTGTCGGCGCCACCGTCCTCGTGTACGTCGGCATTGCGGTGTGCAGCGCGGCATATCGCCACATGACGTACCAGCTTCTCACCATGTACCGGGGCGGCCTGGCCTCGTTGGTGTTTAAAAAGACGCTCAGGCTGGAGGCGTCTTCCGTCAGGGACTCGGCGCCGGTGACTTTGATGAGCACGGATATCGAGTCGATTGTCATGTCGGGCGATGCCATCCACGACATATGGGCGAGTTTCATCGAGATCCCCCTGGCGATATACCTGCTGTATAGGAACGTCGGCGTCCCCAGCCTGTTTATCCTGATCCCTGCATTCTGTAAAGACTACCAGACCCCTTCTGCCTCGACTGCTCTGTCACTGACCGTCTCGACTAGGTACCTCTGCTGCCGGTGCGCTCATTTCCCCGGCCATGGGCCCGGCCCGAGTGCAATGGAACAAGGCCATCCAGGAGCGCGTCGGCTCCGTCTCGACAATGTTGAGCCAGATCAAGGGCGTCAAGATGATGGGCCTGACGGGCCTTTTCTACGACTCGCTGCAGACTCTCCGGATTCACGAACTCAAGCTGGCCGTCAGGTTTCGATGGATACTGGTCCAACTCAATTGGCTTGGTAAAAGATGCCCCTTCTGCCCATTTGTGATTCCTGATACCCGCACTCGAGGGCGCTGACGCCCTTTTGCTAGCCATGGCATCCGAAGACCTCACGCCCGTCATTGTCATCGTCGCCGCCATTTTCTGGACCAAGGCGGACGAGGGGCTCACCGTGGCCGAGGCCTTCACCTCCCTGTCCATCATCAGCATCGTCGAGACACCCCTTCTCAATATCCTCATTTCCATCGTGCAGCTCTTTGGCGCCATCGGCTGCTTCTCCCGGCTCCAGGCATTCCTCGTCATGGACGAAAGAAGAGACTTGCGGGAAATGGCACCCCCGACCGCCTCCTCGACCCCGTCTACCGCGTACCGCTCATCCATCACGCTGCCCCCCGTGGACGATGCGCCCAAGCACGCGAACCCAGCGTCAAACATTGCTCTTGCAGCACTCGAGGCGCGAGCCCGCCCGTCTCTGGACCCTTTCATGCCGGCCGTGGCCATCGAAAGCGCCACCTTTACCGTCGGGGAGAACGTCACAGTCCTCGCAGACATCAGCATGGTCTTCCCACGGGGAACCGTGTCCATGATTGTCGGCCGCGTAGGCTGCGGCAAGTCGTCCCTGCTCAAGGCCATTGCCGGCGAACTAGCCCTGGCAAGGGGCCGTCTCGTCGCCGACGTCTCCTCCATGGCGTACTGCGACCAGACGCCGTGGCTGCAGAATTGCTCTATCCGGGAGAACATCGCGGCCCAGTCCCCCCTCGACGAGGCGTGGCTGCGCGCCGTCATCGAAGCCTGTGCCCTGGACGAGGACATGTCCATGCTCCCCGCGCGGGACTTGACCATTGTCGGCTCCGGAGGCGTGGCATTGAGCGGCGGCCAGAAACAGCGGGTTGTAAGTCGGGCCAACATCCAAGCACAAGCAAGAGATTTTTTGACGTTTTTGGAAAACCCAGGCCCTTGCGCGCGCGGTATACTCCCGGCGCAGTGTGCTCCTCCTCGACGACGTATTCAGCGGCCTGGACAGCACTACGTCCAGAGCCGTCTTCCAGCGCGTCCTGGGCAGAGACGGCCTCGTTCGGCGGTGGAATGCGACCGTCATCATGGCCACGAACCACGGTGCGCTTGCGGTTGCCCGGTTCCAAATCTTGGACATGAGACTGACGCTTTGTGAAAAAAGTCAACTTCCTCCCTGCGGCTGACTACATTACCGTGCTCGGTGACAGGGCCACTGTCCGGAACCAGGTGCGCTTCGACTCGGTCGATCCCTCGGAATGGGGCATCCTGGAGAGCGACACGGACAGCACCGCGACCGTCTCGGGCTCGGACGAAGCCGCGCTCGAACCGGCCAAGGTATCCCCGGAGGCGGCTGCCGATCTGTCTCCAAAGACGGAAGCCGACCTCGGCCGGCAGACGGGCGACCTCGACTGCTACAGGATCTACGTGCGGTCCCTGGGCACAGTGGCCATGGTCACGCTGCTGGTTGGGAGCGTTTTGCACACCGCCATGGTCAAGATGCCGCGTGGGTTGCCAGCGCCCGTTGTCCTTTGAAATACACCATAGACCGGTTTTAAGCTAACCTTGAACCGTAATGCAGAGGTCTGGCTGAAGCTCTGGACGCAAAGGGGCACAGGGCCGACAGACTACGCCTACATGGCCGGCTACATTGGGTTTGCGCTCGCTTCCACGACATTCGGCGCCCTCAACATGGGGTGATGCCTGCCGCACTCTTATCTCCTCGTCTTGTCCTGCCGACTAACAAAGCCAAAGGTACTACTCGCTCGTCGGGGTTCCCAAGTCCGCCATCCGTCTTCACGACATGCTCCTCCGATGCGTCGTCCGGTACGCACGCCAAACCCCCAAACCTCACCTCGAGCTAACGCGCACAAACAAGGGCGCCGTTGCACTTCTTTGCCAGCACAGACAGCGGCATCACGCTCAACCGGTCCGTCGTCCTCCCCTTCACTCCACCTCACACATGTGCTAAACTCCCGACTAGATTCAGCCAAGACATGACGCTCATCGACAACGCCCTCCCCATGGCCTTTCTCAACGTCACGACGCGTACGTACTGTTGTCCTCTCCATAACTAAACCTCTAATCAATATCCCCAGTCTCCCTCCGCGCCCTCGCGGAAACCGGCCTCATCGCCTCCGGCGCATCCTCCGCCGCCGCCGCCATCCCCGTCTGCTTCCTGGCCCTGTACCTCATCCAGAAATACTACCTCCGCACGTCGCGCCAGCTGCGCCTGCTCGACCTCGAGGCCAAGTCCCCGCTCTACACGCAGTTCGCCGAAACCCTCGCGGGCCTGCCGACCATCCGCGCCTTCGGCTGGGCGCCCGCCTTCCGAGCCGACAACCACCGGCGCCTCGACGCCTCCCAGCGGCCCTTTTACACCATGTTCTGCGTCCAGCGCTGGCTCCAGGTCGTCCTGGACCTGTTTGTCGCCGGCGTCGCGCTGGTCCTCGTCGCCCTGGCGCTCCGGGCGGGCGGCAGCAGCGGCAGCAGCGCCGCCGTCGGCCTCGCCATGGTCAACCTCATCGGCTTCAACCAGACGCTGGCCGAGGCCGTCGACCAGTGGACCCGCCTGGAGACGTCGCTCGGCGCCGTCGCCCGCCTCAAGTGGTTCGCCGGCAACACCCCCGACGAGGACGGGCCGGCGCGTCATCATCGCAAACACGCGCCCCTGCCGCCCGCGTGGCCGGACCTGGGGGCCATTGCGCTGAGGAACCTCGTCGCCGCGTACAGGCACGTATCGCCCCTTATCTAGAACCTCGGCTGAGAAAACTAACTCCCGCCAGTGACCAGTCCGAGCCCGTCCTAAAGGGCGTGTCGCTGACCATTCGGCCCGGTCAGAAAGTCGGCGTGTGCGGGCGCTCCGGGAGGTTGGTGGCCCCTTTTTAAAAACAAAAATTCACGAGAGAAATCCCATTCTGACAGACATCATCCCGCAGCGGCAAGTCGTCGCTCGTCCTGGCGCTCGCGCGTCTGCTCGACATCCGCGGGGGCAGCATCACCATTGACGCGCAGGACCTGGCCCTTCTCCCGCGGGACGCGGTGCGCCGGCGGCTCACGGCCCTGCCCCAGGACGGCGTGCGGCTGCGCGGCACGGCGCGGCGCAACCTCGACCCCTTCGGGAGGCACGCCGG